CTAGTCCTCTAGTCCACTAGTCCTCTAGTCCTCTAGTCCTCTAGTCCACTAGTCCACTAGTCCACTAGTCCTGTAGTCCTCTAGTCCTCTAGTCCACTAGTCGTCTAGTTCACTAGTCCTCTAGTCCTCTAGTTCACTAGTCCACTAGTCCTCTAGTCCCCTAGTCCTCTAGTCCTCTAGTCCACTAGTCCACTAGTCCACTAGTCCACTAGTCCTGTAGTCCTCTAGTCCTCTAGTCCACTAGTCGTCTAGTTCACTAGTCCTCTAGTCCTCTAGTCCTCCAGTCCTCTAGTCCACTAGTCCACTAGTCCACTAGTCCACTAGTCCACTAGTCCACTAGTCCTGTAGTCCTCTAGTCCTCTAGTCCACTAGTCGTCTAGTTCACTAGTCCTCTAGTCCTCTAGTCCTCTAGTCTAGTAGTCCTCTAGTCCTCTAGTCCACTACAGGACCACCGACCAAATCCTGAATCTCTGACTCAGTGGACACCTAGAAAATGTCCCCACAGGTATAGCTGTACGAGAAACACACACACACAGAATAACTTTAATTTTAGCCTCGTCACAAAGTCTTCGTCTTCCATATCTGTAGTTTTCACTGTCACTGTCACCGACCAACAGCAGGAGGAGCTGTGGAGCTGGTGATGGAGGACGCCGTAGATCACGCTGAGATGCTAATCTGCTCTTCATCCTACTTTCATTTCAGGCGTTTAAGTGAGCGTGAAACAGGAAGTGATTTAAATGTCACCAGAGTCGGAGTCTGCCTTTACACTTTTTAATTTTCTACTACAATAAACAATAAACAGAACAAACAGCAGGGGGCGAAGCCTCAGTCTGTCTGCTCCTGATAAGAAAATCCTCACTGAGGAGGAGGAGGAGGAGGAGGAGGAAGAGGAGGAGCCGATTGTTTAATTTTCCTCTTCATTTTTCTCAGTGATAAAATTGAACAGAATCAGAAAAAAAAACTTTTTTTTATTTGTTTTTCCCGGTTTTAAAAATATTTTTTTATAACTCTTAAAACTCAATCTGAACGCGTGACCAGACAAACCGCCACAAGAGGGCGGTAAAACTCACTGACATCACCTCAGTCCAGGTGTCATTTAACATATTTTCTTCACTTCCTCCTTTTCTCCACTGGGGGCAGACAGGAGTGTTTTTCTTGTGTGAGTTTAATTATTATTTCATAATAATGTTGTGACATCATCAGTGGTCTTCACCGATGCTGTGACATCATCAGTGGTCGTCACCGATGTTGTGACATCATCAGGGGTCTTCACCGATGTTGTGACATCATCAGGGGTCTTCACCGATGTTGTGACATCATCAGGGGTCTTCACCGATGTTGTGACATCATCAGTGGTCTTCACCGATGCTGTGACATCATCAGTGGTCTTCACCGATGCTGTGACATCATCAGTGGTCTGAACTCACAGGCGTAGGTCATGGAGAAGCTGCTGTTGATCTCCACCACGTCCACCTGCGGCACCAGTTTGGGAATGTCCTGCTGCTGGGACAGTGCGAAACGGAAAACCTCGTATTCGTGGGAGCCGCTGGGGAAAAGGCCTCCTGGTGGTCAAAGACAGAAACAACACGTCAGCATGGAACAGAAACCTCTGTGTCCTCCTGTCTGGGACCTGGACATCCTTTGTCCAACACAACCACTGTCTCATCTCCAAACTACTCCAGGTTACTACTAACTACTACTAACTACTACTAACTAATACTAACTACTACTAACTACTACTAACTACTACGAACCCAACCCTAAGACGTGTTCTGACTAAATGCTTTCTGGACCTCGTTTAAAATAAACGCTGTAATAAAAGTAACCCTGGAAACAACACAGCTGGAACTCCAACAGCATCTCTGTCCATGGTGCTGAACCCCGGTCTCCTCCCTGTCCATGGTGCTGAACCCCGGTCTCCTCCCTGTCCATGGTGCTGATGGAGTCACTTGTGTTTTAAGACTGGCATCAGTGTGTTCCAACACAAATGAATATTCATGACTGCTGCGGCAGCAGCAGCGGCGGCAGCAGCAGCAGCAGCAGCAGCGACAGCAGTGACACTTCCAGGAAATATATTCATCAACTTAACATGCAGTGAGTCAGAGCAGGAAAACACACACACACACACACACAGAGAGAGAGAGCATTAATCTTAATCTTAATCTTAGTGAGGGCGACTTCCAACCATGTAACGTGTGGATGATTTGGGACCAGAGTTGACGTTCAGATTGATTCAGAGGAAACTAAAGAGAGAGGAAACAACCCCCCCACCTCTGTCCTCACCCCCGTCCTCACCCCCCTCACTCTCACTCACCAATGTTGATGTTACTCGGGAAACTTGAGCCGCAGCAGAGCCTGAGGAGCAGCAGCAGCAGCAGCAGCAGTGAGGGGAGCAGCGGGGAGCTCCGCGGCCACATCTTTCCTCCTCCAGGAACAGCAGCAGCGTAATCCCATCCACGGCAGGAGCAAACATCCAAGAGCAGCAGCAGCAGCAGCAGCAGCAGCAGCAGCAGCAGCCTCAGTCAGACTGATCTGTCTCTGTGTCTTTTGTATCTTTGCCTCCTGTCAAACATCCTTGGCTGAAGCCCAGGAAGCTCTGCTGCAGCTGCAGATCCTGACTGACAGAGTCACAGTCTCCACTCTTCTCCCTCCCTCCCTCTCTCTCCCTCTCCCTCTCTCTCTCTCCTCCTCCCTCCCTCCCTCCCTCCCTCTCTCTCCTCCCTCCCTCGCTCTCTTCTTTCTCCACACTTCACTAAGTCAGACCTGATTTTCATTGGTCGTTAACGAGGTGTCGACTAATCGTCTTTTATCAGTTCAACTGAACCAAGATCCAACTCTTCTGTTTCCTGATGTTCGTCCAGATGAAAACACACCTGTGAACTGAAGATTTCTCCACCTGAGCTGACGCTGATCGTCCGTCTTGTTTGGTCCGTGTCCACCTACGCCACCTTCAGTCGTTAGCCTGTAACTGGAGCAGATAAATCAAACGTGGGGGAGAAGGAGGATCATCTTCTCCTTTGTGTCTTTTTTTAATTAGCGGAGGAGGGAGGGTGAATGGAGGAGGATTAGGACTGTTCAGTGTGTGGGTAAACCTGGGGGGCGGGGGACATGTATGGATTAGAAACTCTGGGAACCAAAGAGTCCCACAGTCAGAGGAGCCGTGGGTAAAAATGCATTCATGTTTTTAATCAAATTAAAATAATGTCATAAAAAAAACGCTCAGACTTCGTACGAGGACAAGACAAATGCTGTAATAACGATCGGCCACCGTGTGGCACTAGATTGTGTAAAAAACCAGTGATATTTACTTGTATAATGACCAGCTGTGTTCAGTCCGTGGACCGCGCCCCTCTGGTTGACACCTGGTTGTTTGTTAACCAGCCAACCGTCCTCACTCCATGAAATCTGTGTTCACATCAAACTTTCACGAGGTTCAAACGCTGGTGTTTGTTGACGAAGCGTTAACTTCAGCTCCCGATGATGACGTCGGCGTCGGAGCGTCGGAAAACTGTAACAGTTGATGTGAAACGACGGCTCACGGACGAGAAGAGAGCTTTTAATCTGACGAGACCATGAATAAGAGATGATGGCATTGTGTCCACACAGCTGTTCTGTCACCGCTGCAGCTGCAGCGTGTGTGTGTGTGTGTGTGTGTGTGTTTTCACTGTTACCGCTGTTCCACTGGGAACGTTGTTTTAGAAGAAAACTCTGAACATTTTGCGACTGTAATCAGTTCAATACAGAGAACATACATCAGCTCACCTTTTAAAAAGTTCAAGACCAGCAGCAACACTGACGCACACCGTCCAGCACAGTAGGTGGCAGTGTTTCACCTGAAGAAAAAGAGTGACGTCAGTTTGGACAAGAGTGAGAAAAGATGACACAATGTTGTTTCACCAGAGCTAACGTTAGCTACGACCGCCCAGAGCTAATGTTAGCTTCATCTACTGATGTCCAGTTCACGAACATACACTCACAGTCACTGTAGTTCCAGTTCCACGTTCATGTCTGACTTCTTTATTGTCTCTTCTGTAAAACCAACTTTAATTTGTTTCATTTCTCCTCCTCCTCCTCCTCCCCCTCCTCCTCCTCCTTGGACAAGAGTGAGAAAAGATGACACAATGTTGTTTCACCAGAGCTAACGTTAGCTACGACAGTCCAGAGCTAATGTTAGCTACATCTACTGATGTCCAGTTCACCAACATACACTCACAGTCACTGCAGTTCCAGTTCCACGTTCATGTCTGACTTCTTTATTGTCTCTTCTTTAAAACCAACTTTAATTGGTTTCATTTCTCCTCCTCCTTCGATCTAAACACCCCTTGGTCTCAGGAGTTCTGATCATTAATTCACATTAAAGTATAAAATACTGCTTATTATTTTTCTGCACAGCAGCACAAACGTTCACATCCATCGCAGCCACAGCGACGCAGCAGGAAGCAGGAAGCAGGAAGCAGGAAGCAGGAAGCAGGAAGCAGGAAGCAGGAAGCAGGAAATCCCAGGACCGC